AACGGTAATGAGGCTCGTCTGTCTTCGGTCTTACAACACAATATGATACAGCCATGCAGTCTCGCATCCATTACCATTCGCGCAACCGTAAGTAAGAATCATATCAGCCTGCTCATGTTATAAATACCCTGATATTGTAAAACGGGACACTTCTCAGTTAACTCACGACTACAGACGTTAAACGTTGAAGACATCTAGCCACAAATGTACACGACATGTGTGTGTGTGTGTGTGTGTGGATGCAAATATATATACATGCTCCTGAAAAAAATATTCCGGGTTAGATCTTCGGGGAGAAAAGTGAATTTTTAAACAGTGAATATGCTGCTGCTGATGCATAAACTCTTCGTTAATACGAATCGAGTTCTCCGGTCACTGGCGCTTGTCTAAAAATAAATACGTCTAAATTCACCTTCATCCCTGCCGTGTGACAATGGCTAAGGATAAGATCTCCGACTGATACCAAATAAGCCGTGTTTCGATACCGGCTTGTTCAAACTGACGAGCTGTGAAACAGTCTGTCTTTGGATGACAATATATATATATATATATATATATATATATATATATATATATATATATATATATATATATATATATAAATAAAAAGAAAGAACAGTAAGATATAAAATCCGGTGTTCTTATAGATATTTTATTTTTACAAAATAGTGCTCAATGTAAATTTACAGAGCATTAATATTATAAATTAATTGATTTAAAAATATGGTTATTTTCATACAAAACCATGTTTTTGCAAAATAGAAGTTCTAAAACCCTAATTTTATTTTTGCAAATAAATTAAAAAACAAATTTTAAAAGTATTTCATCTTCAAGCGAATTTTGGAACTAACTTTTTTAATTTATTTTTAAAAATAAAATTAAAGTTTTTAGCTTCTATTTTGAAAAAATGGTTGGAACTGTGTAGCGAAAAATAACTATTTTTAAATCAATTAATTTATATATTATATATATATATATATATATATCAATTTACTTAGCGTATTTAGAAGTGGCAAAAGGCAGAAACTATGGAGCACTCAGTGAGGATTGAACTCTCTATTCAGTTGTAATTGATTCAACGAAACCGCGTCGAAGAGTCCATGATTTTCTCAGCACACCTTAGATGTGTCACGTTAAAGTGCCCCCTTTCTCTCTCTCTCTCTCCCCTTGTCTCTGTCTCCGATTCTCGCTCTCTCTATATATATAGAGAGAGACAAACAGACTAACAGATGCATTCTGTCTATATTTCTGAGATGAGGTATTATGTACATCATTTACATTATTCGGACTATTGTCCTCATCTTTGTCGCCATATTCGTTACAACGTTTCGGCCGTTGTACGCTCCGGCCTTCGTCAGTTGGTTGGAATGTCGAACTGAACCCTTTATTTCGCTCACTGGGGTAGACTGTTCTAGTTCCACGTGCCATGTTTGATGGATGTCAGCTATCAGTTATCTCCTGTTAATTTCCCTCTGAAAGTTCTCCACTGCCTTAACCGGGCATTTATCCACTGTGCCATGTGTCCTTGAGGACACATAGCACAATGACATCCATCAAAAACATGGCACGTGGAACTAGAACAGTTTACCCCAGTGAACGAAATGAAGGGTTCAGTTCGAAATTCCAACCACTTGAAGAAGGCCGGAGCGTACAACGTTGTGATAAATATGGCGACAAAGATGAGGACAATAGTCCGAATAATGTAAATAATGTAACATATATATATATATATATATATATATATATATATATATATATATATATATACTAATTAAAGAAACGTTGATCTAAACATTTTATTGGAGGAAAACAAAATCTGCAAAACGAAATTGCTTAAGTTAATTGGACATAAACAGTTTAAGGTTTTGTTATGTTAAAGATTTAATCTTCTCTCATCTATCGACAAATTTTCATGTAATTAACTTCAACTAACACTGTATTTGATAATAGAGTTTTGTTAGTGAGCAATTAGATAGAACATTCTCCTATAAAAATCGTATGTGCCTAGCCTGTTACCGTTTTTATCTACCTTGAGATGTTTCAATCACTATGAGGCTTAAGGGTAGCAGGAAAATGCTGGTTTCCATGTAATCTATCCCCAGATATGATTTAACGTTAATATGAAGGTACCAAAGAAACGGAAACAAGGGATGATTCGATAGGGTTAATCATAAATCGTCTCCAGAGAGTCTTGAACATATTCCAGATTTTATTGAAACGCTAATATGACATTGGAGACAAGAGTCTGATATTCGCTTTTAACGTTGGAAAACAACACCGTCCGGTTGTGTACTCAAAGTATTCGAGTTTGGTCTTTCGTAATGGTCTGAATATTTGCTTGATATTTTCTGCGAAATGCTTGGCATTTTCAACAGAGTAGGCGAGAATGTGGTAAAGTAGCCATCGATCGTGAGTTTATCAGTATTGCAAACAGTTGGTGGTTGAAACCTACCCTCAAGCATGATATCTGGAAGAATAGGACCTAATTTCAGAGAATACAAAAAAAATAAATAAATAAAAATAGTTTTTCTGCTTGGCTTGAAATAAATGTATATTTGAGGGGAGGAATTTAATTTGAAATTCAGAAATTGGTTGCTATCGAAATGCCGCTATGCCATAAAACATGACAGGCTATATAATTCGTAGAAAAAACCTTATCATAAGACATTGTCCTCGATTTAATGCCATTGAAAAGTGACGGAAAATTGACATTTCTTATCTCCAATGCAACTGCAGTATCGATGTCCTTTTTGGACAGTACGGCTAAACAAGCATATAAATAGAGTGGCGAAGTCTTTTGTTTGCGTATGATTATTTTTGCTTAATTTGTTAGACAAAAATGGCGGCCATTTAATTGGTTCAATTTAAGTTTATTTTATTTGGAATTCTAGTAATGAAAACGTTTATACGAATATCCAAGATGTTAAAGGTACAGTACTAGTACTTTGGAGAAGAGATTCTCTGAATAAAGCTATATTATACAAGAATCACGATTAGCATTTTTACACTCAGATTAATATCCACATCTTTATTGCTACGGAGTTATTTACCAAACCAGATATGTCTGTTATAATTAAGGATATTTTTAATTAAATGAAAGATACTTTTATCGAAAAAGATGATGCGCTTATTTAAGATAAAAAAATAGTAACTGAAACGATTCTTTTATGCAGTATAAAGCTAGCTGTATTTAAACTAAAAGGTACTGTTTCTCAAAGTAATAGAACCATTATTCACTATTATAATGGTGAGAATTTGAAGTAACAAGGCCAATAATGAATCAAAGAACAGTTTTTAAGCATGTTGCAAATTATCTGTCTATATTTTTGAGATGAGGTATTCTGTACAATATTTACATTATTCGGACTATTGTCCTCATCATTGTCGCCATATTTATTACAACGTTTCGGCCGTTGTACGCTGCGGCCCTCTTAGGGTAGTTGGAATGTCGAACTGAACCCTTTATTTCGCTCACTTTGGTAGACTGTTCTAGTTCCACGTGCTATGTCTAATGGATGTCAGTTATCACTTATCTCCTGTTAATTCCCTTCTGCAAGTTCTCCACTGCTTTAACCGGGTATTGAACTCACACGCTTTGGGTTCTGTCACTGGATCTAACTAACGCCTTTATCCATTGTGCTACATGTTCTTAGTGTGGCTAGACATCCGATTGCCTCAAGCCGGTATTGAAACTTGTCTGGTTTGGTATTAAGGGCACATGGACACAGTGGATAAAGGCGTTAGTTAGATTGTTAATTGACATCCATTAGACATGGCTAGTGGAACTAGAATAGTCTACCCCAGTCAGCGAAATAAAGGGCTCAGTTCGACATTCCAACCACGGCCGAAACGTTGTAATGAATATGGCGACAAAGATGAGGACAATAGTCCGACTAATGTAAATTGCGTGCAAATTATTTTTATTTGTAATATAGATAAATAAAAAATAATTATAAACATAGATACGTTATAGAGAGATCTTTTTCTATGTACCATGTCCCATCAGGATGTTGGCAGTCATGGCTCTCCACAATTTTCTGTACTTTGTAGCTCTTAGTAAAGTTTGTCTTTTTTCTATCTTTCCTAAATCCTTTTCACCCGACAATTTACTGAAGTTCGTTGGGTAGGTTATGGGCTTCTTTAAACGTGTCCTTGTTGCCTTGGATATGTCCTGTGATTTGTTTCTTTTTCTTTATTATATGCATTATCAATTTCATTTATCTCATTCTTGTGTTAAGTATTAGTGTCTTTTTGTTTCCATTTTATCTAAAACTTCGCCGTTGCTCACATGCTCAGTTTATGGGATTCGCAAAATTCTTCTGTAATAATAGAACTCTGGCCAGAGATTTTTCGTCGGCAAAATGATACAACGGGACTGGAATCTTCATTACTTAATAACTGCCGATTTCATCAGTTATTATCGGCATTGTCTTTTCCAGGCGGCCATGCCGTCCTTGATGCGATAAGTGGGCCTTACATTCTCTGGTTGCAGTGTATGAGAGACTGTCTTGGTTATATAGCAACGTGTATCACAAACTGCGTGCAGATGTGAGGTCACGTGTTTCTCTATCAGGTTGCCAGGTCAAATCCCTGGTGCACCAGGTGTCTTCGATGATCTGGTGCAATTTCTATTTCTGCATTATAAAGTTGATACAATAAAGATTTGCAAACTATATATATAAAAAACCAATGGATAGCAAAATTCAATAAACAGTACAGAGTTGAGAGGTTAGGAACTGTCTGATTAGTTAGGGGTAATATTAATGGACAATTCGAAAGACATCAATTTATTGTTGACGTAGTTTTTTTATAGAAAATAATTTCGTTACGTTTGTCTTTTTCATCAGCTAAATATAATTTCTTCAATCACCGGCTATAGACCAGGGTTCAGGGAGTAGCTGTAATTAAGAAAACAGAATCTTCGGCTGATTATTGATTTGATCAATGTGGCTGTCCGTGGCAAAGGCGAAAATGTACAAGGAAAGCGTAGGGTTAAGAAGATGGCTACATTGGAGATTGAAATAACTGTTGTGGCGTATACCACAGCAATTATAGATGCCTTCGAACATTCTGAGGTAAATGCCGGAAATGTGAGATTTGCTATCACTTGATCCCTAGCAACGCTCAATGGAAGTATCTAATGTGAAAGCAAGAGTAATGATTTTATGTTATTCCGTAAGTAAAAAAAGAAACAGTTCTCATTTTGTCAAGCATTGTGTTAATCGAATGAACATTTCCGAATAAATGGAGGAATGAAGCCATTGTATATGAAAATGTTTCACGAAAGATTTCTAAGTCGGATCTTGCTTTTATGTTCTTCCATAACAAATGAGAAAGGCTGATGATTGAGATGAAAGAAACGGAAATAATGATGCGAGCAAAGTTATTTTCTTTTTTCCACTCGGCCTATTATGAATTTATTCGGCTGATTGAGCAAGACAAATCCAAAATTGATGTACATTGTTAATGAAGGAAAGCGAAACGAATAGATACATAATGAAATGATATAAATTTATATTTAACTCACTTCATGTAAAAAAGACACACACACATATATATAAAGAGGCTTATACACACACACACACACACACACACACACACACACACACATATATATATATATATATATATATATATATATATATATATATATATATATATATATATATCAAGAAAGACCAGTCAGAATTATAAGCTACTGTTCTTTTAGTACTTATTTCTAAAACCAGTACTCCATACATAGTAAAACATACTATTATAATATTATTATTAACGAATATGTATTCATCGCGACACAGAAATTACCATGTTTCGGAAATCAAAACTAAACTTTAAATTAAACTTAAAATTAAAGGCAAATTTATGTATATTTATATATATATATATATATATAGGATAAGCAAATATAAATGGATATAAATCCGACAGAATGAAGAAAATATCTGGAAAAACAAAACAAAAATCCTTAAAATGCCACAGCAATTATAGATGTTGTTTTAATATGAATGAAATGTCGACGACTGACGTTTCGGTTTAATAACCTTCTTCAGGACAATATTCATTAAAATACAATTAACATAATCAGTATAACACGACGAAAACGATGGACATAAAAACAAGTCTTATCCAAAACAGATAAAGGAAAATTTTTAATGATCAGCTTTCCGTTTGAGCGTGGTCACGTTGTCGTCAAATGGGCGACGCTTTCCTTTCACAACGTATTCTTAAAAATTTTATAAATTTGATTCCGATGGAAAGATTTTTCATATATACAGTTCGTTAGAAAATCCTTCCTATTCTTGTAGGAATACGCGGAGACTAGTAGATTCCTGTATCTTCGGATAAGCATGCAGTCCTCCATGTAATAAAATGAATTCATACTGTCCACTGGAAATACAAACCTGAATTCATTTTATTACATGGAGGACATTTCATTCATATTAAAACGACATAATCGCATTTTTTAAGGATTTTGTCTTGTTTTTCCAGATATTTTCTTATATATATATATATATATATATATATATATATATATATATATATATATATATATATATATATATATATATATATATATATATATATAGTATAACAAAGTTTATATATATATATATATATGAATATATATATATGTATTATATGTACAATTATATATATATATATATATATATATATATATATTTTGTGTATTTAGGAGCAACCCTTCTTTTATACACATTTCATTGAATACGACTGATATAGTGCTTTTATTTAGTTTTTTAGTTTAATTGCCCATTAAGGAATTGTATTTCTGATAAATCGAAATTCGTAAATAATTATATAGGCCACACTACATGTTTGTCACGCAGACACACTCTACACCTTTCTGACCATTGCTCAATTAGATGTCATTTAAATATTCATGGAGACGTACCGAACACTATTCATAATATACTTGTTGACAACACTAATATAATAGCATCATCTACATGCAAAAAATTATGGAGCCGTATTAATAAAAACAAAAACAACAAAAAAAACAACACTTAATAATATTAACTATGAACATGGACACAATATCTTGACCGTGTTTTGAAAAATATAAAACATTTTATAAAACATACATGCAACAAACTATTTCTTATTTAACAGTCAAAATATTTCATCCTTGAAAATGGCTAAATGTATAGCCGAAAGCGTTCGGATAAAAAGAACATTCGGACAGTTTTTATATAATTTATCATCTGAAAAGAAAAACATTATTAGATGGCATAAGAAATTGTATAAAACACTAAATAAAAGCATCATATCCGTCGTATTCAATGAAATGTGCATATATATATATATATATATATATATACGAGTGGACAAAAAATGATTGCGTTCAATCATAACACAGACTTTCGTCAATCGGTCTTAACTGCTGTGTACACTCTTATATTTGCACACACTCTATCCCTGATATTGTGCACATTTTACCATAAATATAGCTTATCATATCTATCTATCTATCTATCTATCTATCTATGTGTGTGTGTATAAAGAATTAGGAAAATTTAATGTTTCTTTTACAGAGTTTTTCTAGTCTTCTTACATTTTTCCGTTTGTTAGGGATACATTATATATATATATATATATATATATATATATATATATATATATATATATATTTATATGCATTCTATATATAAATCAATATACATTATATATATATATATATATATATATATATATATATATATATATATATATTTATTTATATATATATATATATATATATATATATATATATATATATATATATATATATATATATATAATGTATATTTAGGCATCAAGTATTCATCCAAACAAGATTTGTTAAAAAGACCCGTCATAGTTTCTTTTTTAATTTTTTTTGTTTAATATTTTCATAATTGTATAAAATTGTTCTCAAAATTGTGGCCAAACTCTGTGGAGTTCATTTACTGTCATAATTATGTTCAAGTTTTTTTTACTATTTCATTCATTTTCATCAACCATTGTGGTATCTCGGTAGAAACATAACATTAAAAATGAAACAGACATACCTTGTTTCTTTTTAATCAACTGTTTGTTTCGTTTTTTTACGGCTTATCAACCCATTATGTCATTTAAAGATCAAAATATTTTTTTTAGATTGTAATAATTCTTTTTTTAGATAAGGATTGTATAGTGATACAAGTCTTAATAATTAAACCATATTTGGTGGGAGAAGAGCTGGATATATATATATTTCTCCCAATGTTATTTGCGTGTAAGTGAATACAGCGAATGCAAATGGAATTTCAACTCTGAGCCATTATCCATTACGCCACCCACACATCCAAGCCTACAGCACCTGGTATTCGCAAGTGGTCATCCACCTAGATACTAACGAGGCTAGTTTCGAATCTCTTCATGGTCTATCTGTCAAGAAGGTCATTATATCGGCCTTTCTAATCGCCTTTCTAAGTCAGTTGATGTCAAGATATTGAATTTATACTCTATATGTGGATTTGCTGGTAGACTCAATCTCATTGGTGCGGAAAATGGAATCAGCACCACTGAAAACCTTACTTAGTATCTGGGTCAAACTGTTTACCTCATTAACCATTACACTAGACTGAAATTCATTTTTTACTATTTACTAAGCTTATCCTAGTTTTCGTACAAAGCCACCAGTATACGTGCCCGGTGAGGATCAAATGTCGACTCATCAGTATTGGTCAACCAGACGAACATCACTAATCACTAAATTTGGTCTTGGCACCTCAGCTTCAATTAAATTCTCACGGCCGTAATATAATCTCCATGTGCTTTTTCTATAAATATTTTCATCGTAATTGTTCTGAAAAGCTTTCCTCTTTGGTAGCTAAACTTCATGAATATAAGCACAATACTAGATTGGTAGTTAGGTCTCATTATTTTAATACTGAAATTTCCTTTCTAATAGTTTCTTTCCTCACACTTCTTGTCGATATAAATCTCTTCCGGCTCCTTCCTTCCCAGTCAATCACAATCTTCAACAACTTAAATGCAATATCAATCCTCATCTTTTGTCTCCTTGAAGTAATTTCTTTTGTTGTCTTTTCTCATTAATAACGTTTTCTCCGTGTCAATCACTCTATCATCTTTCATCTATAGTAATCCTTTGCGTCTTAGTTGCTTTATCGCCCTGCTTGAGATTAAATAATTAGAAAAAAATAAAGAAAAGACTACTGAGCTATCTAGTTTTGGATGGTAGCCAGTCTAACTCTGAATTCAAAGCCGTGGGAATGGGAAACCACTCCACGATCTTCCCCATGTATTCATGGCAATTCAAAGCACATAAAAAAGATATATGTGGAGAGCTATGATTGCCTCTATCGAGAAGGGGCATGGCGTTTAAAAAAATATTAATCATGTGAACGAAGTAAATGTATACCTGTCAATATGTCCCGCCCATCATATATAATCATGTAAGAACAAAGTAATTCTTGCTAAATTTCCGATTGGAGGCAAAATGAGAGAAAAGCTTAACGAATTCAGAAAGATAAAATGACAGGGTGATATGAGCATTTATAAAAATGAACGCGCTTAAACGAGAAAGGACAGAAAATTCTGTTGCCCATTATCTGGGGAGTTATTTAAAAAAGAATTCAACATTATTGTGTAGATTGCTCTGGAGATGACAAAACACACGTTACTTGTACGTCCACAGATGGTCGACCAGAATATTTCTGGATGATAAGGTATTTTTTTAAGACAAGCAGTCTTTGAAACTATATCGATCGATATCAAATAAAGTAACAAAAAAGTTACTTGGATCAACAAAAAATCTGAAAGTTGTGGAGAGCCGTTATCACCCACGTTTTCTAAGGAAATGGAAGATGAAAGAGGAATTGTATTTTACGTCTTAGCTTCCCCTGATTGAAGTTAGAGGCAAAAATTAGAGAGGAAATAAAAAAGGTCTAACTGATTTCAAGACATTTAAAAATAATCGCTTGAAAACAAACTTTAGCCAATGAGAAGATGACTGTGAGAAACATTTATGTAATGCAACATCTAGCGAGCAGTTCTGTTATTTTCAAATTATGGCTTCAAGTTTTATTTGTTTTCGACTGTCTGGATAAACGCGTAGATAAGTGTTATATCAACATAAACAAAAGAGAAAAACTAAAGATATTGATGGCTAAGCGTAAATGCGTTTCTCTAATGTGGCAATGAAGTCCATTACATAAGCTTCAAATCATTCGAAGAACCGCAAATAATAAAAAAGGCAAGATGATTAAGATAAAAAGACAACTTAGTAAAACTGAGTCGACACAGATATATATATATATATATATATATATATATATATATATATTTATATTTTACAGCAAGTTTCACGATATAGAAGGCCAGGAGTTATCCGCAGTAGAAGGTTTATACGGACAGCAGCAGAAGACAACAGTTAACTCTAGACTTGAACAGGTTAAGATTGTAGTAACCAGGAAACATCCTCTCGAACAGCTCAGTTGTTCGCGGGAAGAATTTGTTCGAGTGGAACTTACTTCCCGCTGATGAAATACGGAGGGAATTTGGATGGTTTGCTAATATGTAAGGGGCATGTCGGGTCCTAGACCTGGCGAAACCAAGGGAGGTATTCCGTCTAAGCACTTTCTATGGAAATAACGCTAGAGCAGTGAGAGACTCGCCATATCCCGCCTGTTGAAGAGAGGTTGGATAATAAATAATTCTTCTCCAACAAAGACTCGGAGACGCTTTTCAACTATATCTAGATTTAGTCAGTGAGGACTGGGCAGCTCCCGTCCAACTATGACAACCGTACTCTATTTTCGGCCTGATCTTGTAAAGTATGAGCATTCAGGTACTTACTGGAGCGGTAAAGGGAGTAAATGTTTACCTACATAATTTCATATATAAGAGTTCCACTTGAGGTCGGGTGTGCGTTTATGGCCCAACATTCTCTCAAGGCACGGTGCCTCCTCGTGGGGACACCGGTTTATCGTCACTGGCAGTAGTTCGTATAGTTACGTATTTCCCCCAATGGTGTTCGTGAATGCCCCAACATGGAACACTGATTTTCAAAGCAGGCTGGATATCATCTGTTGGAAAATTTGCATAATAACATCTTACTACTTTTTGGCTTTGGGATGCACTAAATTAATCTCATTAAATATTAACAAGATCACCTAGATTACAGTTTTAAAGTTAAACCAGCCATTTTCAGTGTAAGTGGTAACGTCCCACATAAGAGCGCTTTGAATGCAAAAAGAGACAGTAAGTGTTTAAGGACATATGTTTTATATGTTTAACAAGAGGAGTTAAAATACGCGTCTTTTCCCTAGATATTTATATTTTTAATATTAATATTAATAATAATAACAACTAAAGCTAACTGCCCAGACATTGTTATTAGAGACCGCAAACAAAAAAAAGTGCCTCTTTATTGATATGGCAGTCACTGCAGACTGCAATGTATCTTTGAAGTTCTTAAAAAAATACAAGGACCTTGAAATCGAAATCTCAAAGATGTGGCACATGGGAACATCAACAATCCTTGTTGTAGCTGGTGCCCTCGGATTGGTTGGAAAACATGCCAGTAGACCAATTGCAGGGATTCCTGGAAGTCCATGCCTTAAAGTAGTACAAAAAATTGTTCTCAAGAGCACAGCCCACACCTTACGAAGGGATTTATCTATGTAAAGTATTTTCGTTTTTTTTTTTTTTTGCAGTGGAAAAAGTCATGATGGCATTTCTAACCTTAGGTCTCTGGGCGAGACCTGTAAAGAAATGTGTACACACCAGAAATCAAAGGAAATAATAATAATAATAATAATAATAATAATAATAATAATAAGTGAAGCTCATGTGGAATACGACCATCTTGACTGACAAGCGCTTGGAGAAAAATCGCCCTGATATATCACTTGTGTACAAGAACAGTTATAAATAGATCCTGATATACGAACCTTGTGACATGACCATATTGATGGCAGAGCATGTAAAAATACTGAGGCACTAATCTGACAGGTCTACTCAAAGAAATATATCAAGCAGTAATTGAATTGTACCTTTGTAGTCGGCACACTCGAGACGATTTCCAGGAAATTTTCTGCCTTGCAGTCCGCTTGGGGATACCTGATATAATTTGGGAGAGCACAGGTGACAGTGCTGCTTTGAACAGTTCATGTACTGAAGAAAGTGTTGGCTGTGCGTCTAAGCTGTGGGTAGGAGCTGAGATATGACCAACAACTCCAGATCGAACAGTAGGGGAGGATATCAAATCAAACAACAACAACAATTAAAACAACAATAATAATAACAATAATAATAATAATAATGTAACAAAAACGGTATTTCGGAAAAAAAATCGGTCGAGATTTTTCTGGAGGATAACGTTTTTAAGGCAAGCATTGTTCGTAAATAAAGTGCTTAATATTAAGGACTAAAGCATTAATAGTAAACAAATAAAATATAGAATTCTTTGGCCTGGTGATACAGTGCCAATGTTATTTCATTTATTTATTACTCATGTTGATTTAAT